TTCAGGGTTGTCATAATATTTCTCATCCATGTGGATTGATTGAGAGGAAATAGCTATCTTAACTCCGGGATCAATTGTAAGATTTAGTCCGGGAATCGTGTATTTACGAGCACATACTCTGTTCAAGATTCCTAAAGGAGGACACATTCGCAACGCTTCTTTAACTATCATGTTCAACAGACTCATCTCGGCTACTGCATCGTAACACAATTTATTGTCATATTTCGAAAGCACCTGTTTAATTTCTTCCTGGGCTCTTGTCTGAATATCAGGATTAAAAGCAAGATGATGTAGAGCATAACTGGATGTAGAAGATGACGTTTCAAAACCACCAGCGAAAAAAACAAACGCTTGAGCTACTAACATTGTATGATCAAATTTCTTTTCCACAATAATTGGTTTACCATCTTCGTTCATTTTTTCTAGAGACTCCCCTACCAAGGTTCCTTTCGCTCTCAGTTCTAACAACAAGTCAATAAAATCGTGTCTTCCAGAAGGCTTATAATTTCTCTGTTCACAAACTTTTGTAACAATTTCAAATATTATATTTTCAGTTTTCTTGTTGCCGGTATATATAATTTTTTTTAATTCTGGCACGGCATCAACGAGTCCCAATTTAAATATTTCAGAAAATGATAGTTTAATAATGACTTTGCCTAAATCTCTGTAAAGTGTTTTTTCGTTATTAATAGTGTCCATATCAATTCCAAAGCCACAAGCGCCAATGAATTCTGTAGCGTAGCGCGCCATTATTTCTCGCACGTCGCATACATCTCCTCCTTTCTGAATCTGCGCATCTAATACTGTCTTTAACTTTTCTGCACACCTCACAATTAGCGGGAACATACCCTTCAACTTAGCAGTTGTGAATGCAGGAGTGAGTCGCTGTCTCACCAACTTCCACGTGTCACCTTCAACGTTAAACAAATTCAACCCTAGCGGCTCGAGGTCAGTATTCAACCCAAATCCTCTATAGTGAAAGTATGAAAAATCAACACTCAAAATGTGTCTAATAATATCGGGGTCATTAATATATAATTCTGGTATCGTTCCCCTGTAGTATCCAAATACCTTTTCATTTTTAGACTTGTTATAGATTTCCATACCCTTTTGTCCTAAACTTTTCCTCCCAAATTGAATGTCGAAGTTGTTTCCAAAAAACGGTACAGGAGGGTCATGTGGTACGTTTTTTTTCTTCCAGTAGTCGTGGTTTCTAGTTATGTATTTATACAACAAGCCTAAAAGTACTATTACTGATAAGATTATTACGAACATCTTGCTGCTTTAAAATAAAAATTACTATGAGCATTTAATTCAAATGAGCTTATTTATACGTTAAACGCTTGATAAGATAGATGACTTGCTTATTCCCATAAGCAAGCATATGAGAATAAGCAAGTCATCGTTACGGATTCCAATTTTCTAGCGGCTGATAAAATTATTTTTAACTGGCTTAAAATGATATGTCGACCCCTCCTACGTAAAGTATCGTATGTCGAAATTGCTAAGTTTACAGAGGAGCGTTTTTATTGTCAGTAGAAAGATTCTAGGTTTGACTTACTTGCTCATCAAACAATGAAATGGGGAACTCTACATCTGACATTTGGAAATAGTGGAAATTATTCTTCAAATAATGAGGACCATGCCACCACAAGCAGTCGTGTAAAATATCTTTGTGATCTCCACCGCGAGACAGAATATCTGCTCAATTTGCCAAACTTGGAGTGAACTTCCATGTCATACCATTAGTTAATTTATTAATTTCTTTGACACGATTAGCCATATATAATGGTAATTTCTCCTCAACAGTGTTTATCCACCCCAAAGCTATTTTTGAGTCACAAAATAGAAATATCCTTTTTGCATTACTTATTATGGTTTGAAACTAGTTTAGATAAAAGTAAAGCTCCATTGAGTTCTAATTTTGGAATGGTTAATTTGGAACCTAAGCTACCAATACGAGATTTGGCGCATAAGAGGTTTATATGATTTTTTTATCAACGGTTTGCACTTTCAAATATATGCAACAACCATATGCGTCAGATGATGCATTAGAAAATCCGAGTAGTTCCACTTATTGTGCTTCATGTACATGTAAGTCTCGAGATATAAAGACTTAAATAGGGGCATTGTCGTCGAGTTGCGGACACCAGCCCGTTGCACCAAGTACCAAGTAAGTACCAAGTACTTCCCGATATCGTAGAAAAAAAAAATTATACCGTTGTACGCGGATAGGCTCCAAAGCGAGGAATCAAATATGAGAAGACCTGTATGTGGAAAATATGAAAGAGTAAAATAGCAGAGATCAACGGCCTGCAAAAACTATTACATATGGAGGGAATATTTGTATATTTTTATGCGTACACCCTGGTCAACTTCCGCAGGAAGTAAAAAATGCTCGAAATTCAAATAAATAAGATGGCCGCTATACAAATTTCAAAGCCCCCTATCACGGAATCTATTAGAGATAGGTAGGTAGTGCTCGAAGGAATGTCATAGAGGGTAACACTGGTCAAGTGCCTGGGTTAAAAAAAATTCAAGATGGCGATTTCAAAATGACGGCCGAAGAAAAACTTGCTTTGATCCGGCTGAAAATTGGCACGCAAGGGTGTTTAGGAGTCCTTAATCATAATTTGGGGGCAAAAGTTTCTTTTCGCCATTTTTTAATATGGCTGCCATACAAGCGTTAATTTCGTTAAAAATTGCTGCCGAAAGAGATTGATCTGAATCGACTGAAAATTGGCATGTGAAGGCCTCTAGAAGTACCGGATAATAGTTTGTGCTCAAAATCTTACAACATTGTGTTGACAGCGAAAAACGAAGGTAGGCCACTAATGGTTTTCAGATAAGAGTTTATGTGTAAACTATGAGTTTTATTTTTATTTATAACATTATTATACATTATTATACATTGATGAATTACTTTGTTTAGAAAACATAGATGGCTGGACTTGACACTTAGTCATGATGTAAAAAATGAAATTGTTGAGTATTGAAGTGCAACGCTTACAACTTAAATTATAAGCGTGCTTGTGTGCTTATATTAAAAAGCAAACTTTTTAAAGTGCTTTTCATTTAAATGTCCACCTCTAGTTTGGACACTTACGTGTAAAAACTTTTTTTATTAGACCTGTATAGATACGAACAGTTGACCTGCTAAGAAATCGTGCCCAGAAGAATTGGCAGGTGTGCATATATGGAATGAGTGCCTATCGAGAAAGTACGGCAGAAATGTAGGAATATATTTTAAAAATTTTGTACGAAACTTTACTGAACTATACTTTTATTTTGTTTTTGTTTTTTAAAGTACATCACTAGAGCTTATCAGTCGACTAACGACCCGTTAGGTGTATACGTAATTTTATTATCGTAATTATTAGATTGTCATATCATCGTTACTTTAAACTGTTTAAATAATATTAAAACAATAAAAAAATATCCAATCATTTCTTGCAATGTGTGCTATTCTTTTTAAACAGTATTACAAAAAATAACTTTATTCCTTAGTAATATTAAATTGAATTACAACGAAATACCATGTTTTTCTAAACACAATTATAATAATATCACTAAAAATAACATTGATTCATAAATTTTGGGAACCATTAAAATAATAATGTGCCAAACAACCACACCAATTACCTCACCTGGTCTCAAACTAAGGAATTCACTGTACTATAAGTACCAGAGTAACGGATTTCATACCGGGGCACACACCAGAACCAATTTAGAAAATATTGTTTTCCAGTTTGGTCCTACCGGGAATCGAACCCGCGGCCTCCTCATCCAGCGCCCACATTATAAATCATTTGGCCACCGAGGTCGTCTACAGGATTTATAAAAGCAATCCTTAGATAAGAGTGTCACTGAACGACGTTTGTGATGATGCAGAAATGCAGCAGTAGAGCTCCTTGTGAAAGAGTCGTCCAGGAAAGTATTACCTTACCTATTTCTACTGGTAAACAGTAATGTGAACATTACTGCGTTCCGGTTTCGAAGAGTGAAGGTCCTGGTGAAATTACAGGCACATGGGACTTGTCAGCTTATGTCTCAGAGTGTCGGGCGCAGTAGCAGTGTCCCTCAGATCTTTGCGATTTAGAGCTCTGAGTGGCGCAGCAACTGTTAGGACAGGCGTGTCGCTTGTCGTAGAGTGGGTAAACCGGTTCCACGGGTCACTGTCGTACCACCTTGTGCAGGTGCTGACTGGACACGGGTGTTTCGGTCACTACCTGCACACCTGCACAAGGTGACGACGAGGGAACCGTCCCCGTCGTGCCACGAGTGCAGCGCTGCGGATGACACCGCGCAGCACACCCTAGAAGTGTGCAGCCGGTGGGATGAGCAGCGCCGCACTCTGACGGGGACTGTAGGGCAGGACCTCTCGCTGTCGAGCGTGGTTGCCGCCATGCTCGATAACGAGGAATCCTGGGAGGCGGTGGCCTCCTTTTGCGCAGAGGTTATGTCGCAAAAGGAGGCCGCGGAGCGGGTGCGCGAGGACGCGACGGAAAGCGCACCCGCTTCGGCGCAGACGTACGGGGAGAAGGCGAAGGCAGTTCGCTGCTCGCCTGATCCCCTAGTGAGGCCAGCGGGCTCTGGACAGGGACTCCGGAGCCTGCATTGCACGGCCTCACTCGTCTGGGGGGCGGGTCGGAGGACAACCGACGCCCCTCCGTTGGCGCGAGAGCCCTGGCGCAAGCTAGGGCGGCCGGGCGGCGTCGTGGTGAATGTTCACCGATCCCACGGCGCCGAATCAACCGGTGAGAGGGAAACCCGGGGGGGTTTTAGTGGGGTAGGCCCTCCAGTCTGGAGGGAGAGTCCCCACATAACCCCTGAGTCTCCCTGGGCTCAGGGGTATCCATAAAGATTTTCCCCCCCGTCAAAAAAAAAAAGAAAAAAAAAAGGCGTGTCGCTTGTCACCATGCACACGACTTCGTCCTGCCACTTAGTATTAAAAAAAACTGCTCTTCAGAAACCCTTATCGTCCAATAGATCTTTATTTAGACCCATTATTATTAATCAATAAGCTGTGCTTTTAGGTGGATACTTAATGATAATATTATTTTAAACGTATCTCAGAATCTACTTAACGGATTTAACAATGTCTTTTAAGGGAAAAGTATCGCGCGTTAGCTTGGCAGTGGAAACTTATATATAATCTTCAATGTATAATGTTTATATTTATAGCACCCGATCGCGCAATCTGAGTTGACCAACACAAGTTTGCCATTTTATTCCAATCTGATCATGCAAATGGATTACAAACATAATATGTCTGTAAAGTTGTAACCATTATTGCAAATAATTTATATACAATTTGATTAGTAGATAAGTTCACTTTAAACAAGAAACTGAATAATTACCATGGCTTATACGTGTGCGCGGCCGCCGCGAGCCGTGTACACTTTCGCATAGGTAATTTCGCGATACCTACACTTGTGTTGCATATCACTGGTCGTCACACGGTGCGCGGCGGTCACACACACATACAAACCACTCTTCTTATCTTCTCTATATGCTAACAACTTTTCTTCATTTGCGACTTCAATTATGCCATCACTAATTGACTCTCCACTCAAGTATTACTTTCTTATATTTGTCAGTATAAACAATATTTATAGTTATACTGAAAGAACAAAGAATACGTATATGCAATTATTCTGAAAGCTTTTACTGCTTGCGTAAGTGGAACACGGATTCTATACGAGAGAGAATCCATCATAAGGTTGTAAGTACATTCTTTATTGATCACGTTTGTAAATGTAACCGTATGAAAAAGAATAATCTTCTTCACTTTAGAAATTTTCTTCTTGAATCTTTTGGACTTTCCTCAAAGTTTTGTGTTCCAAGTTACTGTGTTACGCCTTTGTACAAACACCATAATACAAACAAAAAGAAGGAAAAATACTTTCGGTCATGAAATTAATTCCGAGTGGACAAATGATTAGTTTATTGTCATTGTAATACGGTGCTGTTTAAATACACAGGAAAAAATATATTCAACAGTTGAAGTCATCTGGCCCATCGTGGTGATGATTATTTTGTACAACTGGCCAAATATGACTAGATAACATTAAGGCGATTTGGTTGACATTGTGTCTTACGTTTATTAGTAGGAATATTTTACTTTTTATCTTTATGATCTGAAAACTGTCTACACTTTGATGACTTTTCGAAAATCGTATTGGACAACATGTTTACTTTTTAATTTTGACGTCTTCTGGCGTCGAACATTAAGAACAGATTGTAATAGTACATTATGATATAAGTGCGGTAAG